AAGCTACCTAAAGACCTACACTATAAGACAGAGGTGAAGTGAAGGGCTTCTCGCTTTATATACTTCCAAGGCACTATTTACTGATGCTCTTTTGATGAAGTCTTTTTGCGATGTCTCGGAGAAGAAGAAGCAACAAAAGCACTAGAGGAAACTCACTCAAGGATCTATAGAGCACACCAATCAAGCCCTAAACTTCAATTCCAGATCAAAAGAATGGGGTATCACTGGCCAACAATGGTGAAGGATTGCATAGACTATGCTAGAAAATGTCAAAGTTAATTGCATGCTAATTCGATCCATCAGCCACCCAAGCCTTTACACCCGACAGTTGCCTCTTGGTCCTTTGATGCTTGGGGACTTGATGTGGTAAGACCATTGCTGAAAAGCTTTAAGGGGTGTCTTTACATATTAGCTGCAACAAATTACTTCTCAAAATGGGCAGAAGCTGCAACATTAAAAGAAATCAAGAAAGAGATAGTTGTAAACTTCATTCGAACAAACATCATTTACCGTTATGGGGTACCAAGATACATCATAACCGATAATGGAAAGGAGTTCTACAATACAACCATGAACAAGTTGTGTGCACAATTCAGCTTCAAATAGCATAACTCTTCTATGTACAATGCTCCGGCTAATGGTTTAGCAGAAGCCTTTAACAAGACTTTATGCAACATTCTCAAGAAGGTGGTGAATCGCTCGAAGAAGGACTGGCATGAGAGAATTGGGGAGGCATTATGGGCTTATCGTACTACATTCCGAACACCAACTCAAGCTACTCCATATTCCTTGGTATACGGGGCCGAAGCTGTTCTTCCACTAGAATGTCAAATTCCATCTTTGAGAATCGCAATCCAAGAAGGACTTTCCAATGAAGACAATGTTCGTCTACGCCTTGAAGAGCTTGAAGCTTTAGATGAAAAACGTCTTGAGGCACAACATCGATTAGAATGTTATCAAGCATGACTTTGTAGGGCTTTCAACAAGAAGGTGCGACCACGCTCATTCCAAGAAGGAGATCTTGTCTTGGCAGTACGACGCCTAATAATCATGTCAAAACGCATGGGCAGCAAATTCCTCTCCAAATGGGATGACCCTTATATGGTTCAAAATGCTCCGGCTAATGGTTTGGCAGAAGCCTTTAAGAAGACTTTATGCAACATTCTCAAGAAGGTGGTGAATCACTCGAAGAAGGACTGGCATGAGAGAATCAGGGAGGCATTATGGGCTTGTCGTACTACATTCCAAACACTAATTCAAGCTACTCTATATTCCTTGGTATACGGGGTTGAAGTTGTTCTTCCACTAGAAAGTCAAATTCCATCTTTAAGAATCATAATCCAAGAAGGACTTTCCAATAAAAACAATGTTCATCTACGCCTTGAAGAGCTTGAAGCCTTAGATGAAAAATGTCTTGAGGCACAACAACGATTAGAATGTTATCAAGCACGACTTTGTAGGGCTTTCAACAAGAAGGTGCGAACACGCTCATTCCAAGAAGGAGATCTTTTCTTGGCAGTACGCCGCCCAATAATCATGTCAAAACGCATGGGCAACAAATTCCTCTCCAAATGGGATGGCCCTTATGTGGTTCAAGAAGTCTACACCAATGGAGCTTACAAAATTGTCGATGAGAATGGATTAAGGATTGGGCCTATCAATGATAAATTCTTGAAAAGATACTATGCTTGAAATCTGATGTAGCTCTTGGCTCGCACGAGCTAAAACTGTGAAAGGCACAAAAAAATAAACAAAATTGAACTATGTTATGACTTGATTATTTATGCATAAAGGTATGTAGGCAACTTGAAATTTATTATGAGTACAATCACACAAAAAAAAATTCTTTGAACTATATTGTGACTTGATCCTTTATCCACAAAGATATGTAGGCAACTTAGAAATTATTCTAAGTACAGCCACATTATCCTTTAAACTATTTCCACTAATATGATTGTTCACATAGAAAAAAAAAAAAAGTAAATCTCAAAACACAATCCTAACATGGAAATCCAGGTAATAAAATACCAACGAAGGTAAAATATAGACTTTATTAATAGAAAGAAGAATTATATTATATAAAGCATGTAGCCTCAACATAAAGTCATAACCCGGTGTTACCAAAACAAAAGAATTCAAAGCATAAGAAACCATCAGCATGCTACGGTTTCTAGGAAAGAGGATATTGTGGTGACCTCTGCTCGAATGAATGTCGAAGCTCCATCAATTATTCCTCTATTTTTGTCGTGGTGGAAATAAATCTAGATGCCTCCTTGTTAAAAGCTTCAAAGTTTTTTGAGCTGCACTTCAAGAGTTTCGATGTGAAGGCTCGCTGGTGAGGACTCTAAATAAATAAAATTTTTGGCATCTTCATTCACGTTAATCATCATTCTTCCAATAGAGGAGCAATCAACCTTTATATCCGTCTACCCACATCAATTCCTTCCTCTCCTTGAAAGCGACCAGTCATCCTCCCTTTCAAATCAAGGGTTCATCACATGTGCAGTTGATTGTATGAATCAAGAATAGGGCTTGCTTATTGTCAAAGTCCACAAAACATGGAACCCTCAGCATGAGTGAGAAGGAATTCTCAAGCAACCTAAGATTTTAACGGATGAAAGCATTAAGCAGCTTAATACGTTGCTTGAGAACTTGACAAAAGCAGCATGTTTCTCATCAACTTTTAAACTAGAAGGCTGAGATTTTCTGTCGGCAGTAGATAAGCTCGCATCTTCAACCTCAGAAACTGTAATACTATCATATAGTCATGGTTGGAACCTGACTGTGCGGGATGCAAGTCCTCACACGTCACAAAGAAAGACTATGCATGATGCTCAGCTCCAACCACAAAGGCTTTATAGCTGCATTGACGTGACATGCCAGAGAGAGAGTAGCACAACAAGGAGAATCGTTTAAAGCATGCGTGTGATGCTGGAATGATGTCTGGTGAAGTCCCTTCGGACAGTGAGGACTCTAAAAATCCAGTGAGCTCTGACTCTGTAAGCTCCGAGTCACCTCCAAGACTTGATGATCTTGCAGCGAGTTTCCGGGTCTTCTCGGAGTCAATGGCAAGAATGCACCTTACAGAGAGGGAGATGATCAAGGCAAGAGAGGCTTCAAGGTTGGAGGCAGAGAAAAGGAGGATGGAGTTGGAGGCTGAGTTGACTAGAATGATGTTGCAGACTCAGTTGCAGATTGCTTCAATTGTGGTCGGGAAAGGAACAAGTAGGAAACAGGAGATAAGGTCAATGGAGTTGCTTTGGCTAGCGACACATTCTTTCCTTTTGCTTGGAACGATGCAGTTGAGGAGGCTGATGGAGACTGTGCTGGCAGTAAAACGAGAAGAAAAAAAAACACTTGCCTAAGCTCATTTATTTATAAGGCTGAGATGGTAGAATTGCTTCGGCACTCATGTCAGATGAATTCTATAGCAATGGGAGAACTCACAATGTTTGCGGAAATAAACCAGAGCTGAGAGAACACCACATGAGCTATCAATTCAGGGCTGAGAACATATCATAATTTATGGCAGCAGTGATTAGGGAGCACTGGTGACAAAGATGCTGAATCCCTTGCAGCAACTTCAACCATGAATATGCCTGATGAACAAGGAATTTGCAATTCTGGACCACTGGTTCGAAGATCATGTATATTCACACATAAAGCTTGAGAAACTACGTGAGTGAGACCAGTTCACATACTGAAACAACAAAGTTGAAATTCTGCTACGATCGGTTTGTAAGCATAATTAACATCCAAGTTAAGGTTTTGCAATGCTGACAACAGTAAAAAGAATGATTAAGTGGAATCTGTATTGCATCCAAACTTCAATATTTGATGAGATTCTGCATATAAATCATGTGGAATCTGTCTACAACAAACAAATACATCCAATTCTATAGGCTTTTGAATCTGTCTGCAACTCAGAATTATATCCTGCATACATACAAAAAAAAAAAAGAGGTGTAGTTGTAATAAAACAAGAGAAGGAATGGGGACATGCATTCCAGGACTGCTGTGTGGAGGCTGCACAGTTAGTGAAGAAACAGAAGTATTGCTAGGTTGAGGCTGCACCGTTAATTAAATTCAAACTTAAGCAGTACTACACTTGGTTTAATGATATCACAAAACAGTCACTTGACCCGACATTGTTTTGCTTGACCTTTGGCGGACCAATTTTGTTCGTAGATGCTGACAGACACTTGACAATCTTCACAAAGCAGCCAAAGAGTTTGATATTGTTTTTTGAAGCGAGACGTTTGGTTGCCAGGTTGATGCTACGCGGTTAATAAAAGAGCAACAGGGAGGGCTGCGTGGTTGGTAACAGGAAAAGAGCGATGTAATGCTCTTTTGTAGCCGCTTCAGTGATTCTTTCCTAATCAAAAAAAATCTTTCTTATTCTGTGGGAGCAAAGTCGGCTTCCAATACAGGCAATCGTTTTGTTCTCTTTGTTAATAATTCATTCACGTTGAACAATTCATTTAGGAAAAAAAAGGGTCAATTAAGCGAAGTCAAGCTACCAGTATATATTAGAGGGTTTATTGTTTTGTCCAGGCAGTTGATTCAATCTAATCAATTAATTCAGGAAAGAAAGTCAATTAAGAAGCAATTTACGTGAAGAAGTTATTTTGCTCTCTGGACATTCTTTCAAGAAAAGGTTGAAATTAATAAAGGATGGAAGGCACGGTTCCCAAGGCAATGAGAAAAGGAAGGTGCAACTTTTATAATTCATAGCTCAAGACCAGTAACTGAACTTAACCAACCCCTGAATCTTGTTTAATGGTGTACTTACACAGTACTTTGCATCTTTCCATTCCATTAATATCGATATCCTCTTGAGTTTCTAGCATTAATTCCACTGTTATTTTTATCTTAACTAATTTATGCTGTCCTCTGCCCTTTTTTTGTTATTTTATTTTTATCAATTCCCTTAAGTTTGTTTGTGTTTCTTTCTGACAGGCACCTGAAGAAATCAAGCATATGAGCGATAATGTTTTGCTGGTTATTTGTACTTCCTAGATCAAATTTATGAAGGAGACTTTGTTCCCTGAAATGAATGAAATGTATCAGAGAATTGCTGCCAAGGTACAACAGGTAAATTGTCTCTGGAATTTCTTCCGGATTATCTGTGCATGCATGATTATCTGCAATTTCCCCATGTTGAGCTTTTGTATTAATTTGTTTTCCTCATCAGCATTGCCTGTCACTGTATCATCTGCACTAATCACCTACCCCTCCACCCAACCGCCCCCACGACCATGCATCGACACAGAAGAAGTGGAATAGAAACATTTTGTTTCACTAATGTTTTGCTACAAGGGATCAATGCAATTTTTAATTCTCGTGTATGTTAACTTTGCTTTCCAGCATGACTCTCATCTGCAACAACCGAAGTCGGAACAGCTTGAAAAGCTGGAGGTATTTAAGGCCATGTTGGAGCGCTTGATAGCATTCTTACAGGTCTCTAAAATCAAAATCACAACTAATTTCAAGGAGAAATTGTGTTCCAATGAGAAGCATATTGTAGGTTTTCTAAACCCAGGCAGATTCAGGAAGCTAATTCCTAATCTACAGCTAGGACAACTTCCCCAGCCTCACGTGCAACCAATGCAGCAATCCCAGTCTCCAGTTCCTCAATTGCAGTCCCATGAAAATCAACTGAATACCCAGTTGCTATGTCAAGCTTGCAGCATGGTTCTCTTTCATCTTTATCTAGGGTTTCTATGTCACAACCAATCATGATGATGTGGGACGAGAGATTTTAAGAGAAGAAAAGGGGGAAGAGAGAATGATATTGTAGCAGAAATAAAAATAGAAAGGCTGAGCTTAGAGGCAGCACATTACAAATGAAGCACCCAATAGCTAGACATACAATCATAACAAATTCATCTTCTAAAGTTGGGGGAACTTGCGAAAACTAGCAACTACAAAATAGTAGCAAGTATCTATGCAGTCTTCGATGAAGTACAACCACCTACGTCGCCAATATGGATTGATGTAGAGAACTGCTGCAATCGTCATCACCACAACTGTGTAACATACACCGAAACTGATGTAGAAAAACTCCATGTCTATGAAACCATCATCTCCTTGTTCATCATTAGGCACTGGTTGGGACGGCACTGCTTCCTCACAACATTTGTTTCGCAATGGAGGTCCACACAAGAAAGGATTTCCTTCGTAACAGCTTTCATTGAAGGTCCCAAACTGATATTTTCTCTCGGGTGTCTTACCTGACAAGTTATTGTGCGCCACACTAAAAACTTCCAGTGTGGTAATTTCAGTAAGTTGTGGAGGGATGACACCATTCAAGTTGTTGTAAGAAAGATCCAAACTCTCAATCCGCTTCAGGTTTGAGAATGTTGCAGGGATAGATCCAGTGAGATTGTTGTGTGATAAGTTTAATGACAGTATCTCACTTAAGTTTCCAAATTCTGGCGGGATTGCTCCTACAAAGTTGTTATTGGAGAGATCAAAACCAGACATGTAGCTGAGAATTTTCCCCTTGTAACCATAATACATATTTTTAGTTGTAAATTCTACCACTTCTTCTGTAAAGTTAGGCCAATAACCCTTTAACAAGGTGTACATACTAGCCACTACTGGTGGACCCATTGTTTCATAATAAGCCTTTTCTATGGACCTTGGTAGTAAAAGAACTCCGAGATTCACTAACGCTTTCTGGGAACTTTCCTTGAAAGTAAGATTTCCCAAACAGGAGGGTAGTGGACCAGAGAGTTGGTTTTGTGAAACATCCAAAATGCTTAATTGTTCTAATAAGCATAACTGAACAGGGAGTTCACCATCAAAGTGATTAGCTTTCATCAGAAGAACACTCAATGATGAAAGATTGCCAATCCAATTTGGAATTGAGCCGGTGAAGTTGTTATCTCTAAGATCCATCGTAACCAGGGAAGAGCTGTTATAAAATCCATATGTTAATGGACCACTCAATCTATTTTTAGATAGATGCATATGGATTATAGATGGTGGACTGAAACAAGATGGTATATATCCAGACAAGTTGTTATCAGAAAGGATCAAATATTGAACCTGGTCAAGCTTACAGAAGTCTCTTGGGATTGGACCCTTAAAATGGTTTTTGGATAAATCAATTGCTTCAAGGTTTGTAGAATTGACGAACCCCCTTGGAAGCATGCCTGAAAATTGATTGTTACTCAAATCCACTACAATCCACGATTTCCACCCATTTAATGGAAAATATGATATCTGACCCCAAAAGTTGTTATCACCTAGATAGAGATATTCTGAGACAGAAGAATTGAACACCGAGGTTGGTATTTGCCCACCCAAATTGTTGTTTGACAGCTTGAGATACTGTAATGTAAGTAGTTCTAGTGTTACTGTGGACAATTGATTGTTGGATAAATCTAAAAGTGAAAGAGAGCTAATATTTCCTAAACAAGAAGGAATACAACCTGTGAATCCATTTTTAGCCATCCTTAAGCTCTCCAAATTTGGAAAGATCAAACAAATATCCTTTGGAATTTGACCTGTCATGTTGTTGTTGGAAATATCTAATTCGGTCATTTTTGGATATGGGTGTTCTTGCAACTGCAAAGTACCAACAAAGGAGTTCCCGCTCAGATATAGTTGCTCCAATCGTGTATTGTTATTAAGCAACCACGATGGAAACATTCCAGTGATGTTGTTGTGGGAGAGATCAAGGAATCTTAAGTGGTATTGGTAATAGAGGAAGTTGGGAATTTGTACATTGAGTGCTTCCGTTGTTTTTGACACGCTAAAAAAGACTAGTTGGAACTTTGGAATCAAATGTTCAAAAACAGCAGGTTCTGTTACTAGTTTGTTGTTCTCATTGCAGAAGAACTTGAGGCTTGAGTGGTTCATAAAAGGCTTCATTGAAATGGGAACTTCAAAGAAGTTATTTGATAGTGAGAGGAATTCAAGGGATGTGAGGTTGGTAAGAGGACCGAAGGCAATATTTCCAGTAAACTGGTTTTTAGAAACATCTAATAGTTGTAGAGAAGACAAGTTCCCTAAACAATCAGGGAGTGAACCTCCTAAATTATTTCTAGAGAGATCCAACTGCTTCAGATTCTTCAATTCACACCAACCTGTACAATTTATGGATATAAAGTTGTTAAAGATGAAAGGTAAGTTAAATATGATAAAATGTTATCATTAAATTGATCATTGCATAGATATAAAGTCTTTATTTTTTTTTATATATAATATAATGAATATTATTGATTATTAAAAATAGTTTTAATCATCGATAAGAAGTTTTGAATAATTATTTGGTTTTATTAATTTTAAAAAATATAATATTTTTAAACATTATGAAATATTGTATATTTTTAAATAAGTTGTTTTTTTAATCATGGAATGTTCTTTTAATATCACTCTTGAGTTGTTAGTCACCGACTTGGAACTCGGGTTTTGACAAAATTGATCTTTAGATAGATATAAAGTCATCATTTTTCTTGAAAGAATCATATAATTAAGAGAATGTCATGTGCAGCATTTAGGTAGAAACTGGGTATTATACCTGATCCTGTAAACATATTCCTTGACAGATCTAAAGACTTGAGGGATGAAAGCCCACTCAGAATTGATAAGATGCTGCTGTTCAATCGATTGCCTCCCAGGTCAAGGTTCTCTAACTTTCCCATCCTCATCGGTAGGAGTTGAAAACCTACAAGATATATAATTCTCAAATTATACATAAAAAGGTATACAGTGCATAGATTAAGGAAGAAGATAGATTGCAAGTATCCATTCTATACATCGTCACTTGTAATTTTTAATCATCCTAGTTTTGATCAGCTAGCTCACTTTAATCTCTTCCTGTCTTATTAGAAAAACAATTTATGGATAAGATCAAAGCTCCATAGATATAAATGTTCATAGAAGTTGATTATTATATATATATATATATGAAGTCCTCAATTTTCTTGATAAAGAGAAAGTAACTTACTATTGATAGATCCTGTCAGCTGATTGTATGAAAGATCTAAAGACTTGAGAGATGAAAACTCAGTTAGAGAAGAAAAAATGCTATCGTTGTATTGATTCCCTCCTAGATGAAGGTTCTCCAGCTTTTTCAACCTTGATGACAAGACTTTGAAACCTGCATGATGTTTCTCAAGAGCATATTGGAAGGAAATAAACGCATGGAAAAAAATCATACGAGGAGAATGTTTCAAAGAAAAATAATTAAAAGGTTACCATAGAACCTACCTGATCCAGCTGTCAACCCATTGTATGATAGATCCAAAGACTCGAGAGTGGAAAGGTTACCATTGAAACATGACAAAATGCTTTTATCATTTTTATTAAATCGGTTTTCACTTAGGCCAAGTTCCCTCAGTTTTGATGATAGGACTTCGAAGCCTGGAAGAGAATCATCAAAGCAAGATAATTGACATTAAACACCAACCAACCAACCTTCATTTATTTTATTATTATAATTAAGTGCAGAAACATTGAACTAACCTTCATTCTCCAAGCAACCAACCAAACTAGCCCTTCCCAATTCAAGACTTTGCAATTCTTTAAAAGGCAGAAACAAAGATGCGTTGAGAACCCAATGGCCCAAGCTCTCATCTCTTGTACCGAAAAGAGAGACTTGGATCACTCGCCTTGTAGTGTTATCACACTGGATCCCATACCACTCACAACAATTACTACTGCCCACCCAATCTCCCAAGGAAAAGCCATGTGGGTCGATCAAAGATTGGATCTCCAAGAGACCAATGCTCTCTTCCTCCATACATCCATAACAACGACCATGCCATTCGCCAGCCAAAGTCAATAATGCTAGCAACATCCAAGCCCCCATTCTTTTCATCATCATCTTAGATAATTCTATGAACTACGTACTACGTAGAATATTGTTGTTTGTTATGTACCTTTGGGCAACCATAGAGGTCCTATTTATACTACACTATGGCCATTTCCACGACTTAATCATACTTAAAGTAAACTTCTAACAGAAAAAAGACATGCCTAAAAATAAGCGAATGACCTATCTTAATCATGCTTAAAGTAAACTTATAACAAAAAAAAATGATAATACAATACATACCTAAAAAAGGTTAAAACTATAATTATAAAATCCAGTCCAACAAATCAATTTAATCACCTGTGGATATAGACCTATCTCGTATGGGTCAAATCAATAAAATAACTGATTTATTCTATAAAAGAATATTATTATTTTTCAAAAATAAAATATTAAATTAATCTAAGTTAGATTCAAATAAAAATTCCGGGTCAGTGAACACCCTAATCAATTTTGAAAAAAAAAATACAATGGTTGGTCTAGAAAATTAAAAGATGTATCTGTGTTGAAGGAGCGTGCGCAAGTCACGGAAAGACATTTTTTACTGGAATTTTATGTGCTCTTTTTCCCGAACATCACATTCCTGTAAAATCCAAGACTGGGGCAGAAGAGAAAAATGCTGATTCACAATCAATCGTCACGTTTCAAGGGTGAGAAACATGGCATGAGCCCCACGTTTTATATTCAAAATATTTACCAAATCTTTGAAATATTTTCATATGATTGAAATCCATTATGATCACGCATTATCAATATCATTTGTATCTATGAAAAAAAAGAAGAATTTTTCCAGAAATTAATTAGAGAGATATTAATTAGTGGATATATTTCCTACTTAATTCATTTCATTTCATTTCTTTTTTTTTTTCATGTGAATGGATACATATGAGTCTTGATGTTTTTTTTTTTGAATGAAAAAACATTAAATTATTGATTTTATTTTCGGTATCAAAATTATCGAATGTGGTTTCATGCATGATGAGCTTCCGTAATATCACCTCACCGATGAACAATGACAGGAAAGTATATAGGAGATAAATATATATAACCCAGTCCATATAATTTAATAAAATTGATTAATAAACCCTTGTAATTTAAAGATGGCTTTGAGTTATTGCTGTGCTCTAATGATGAAGATGTAGGAAAACGATCTTCCGTATGCTGTCTGGAGCTGGGCTTCCTCTCTCTGTAAGAACAAGCAACATCTTATTTGGGTTGTTGTTAGTGGCCCTTCGTCGACCCATTAGTAGGTGGATTTTAAGCATAAAAGGGATTTTATTAAAAAAAAAAAAGAAAGGAGGGGGGGGGCGCATCATCACGTGAAAAGCAAGGAGCTTGCCACCCATTATAGAGTGTGGATATACCACTTTCTCTTGTATCATATCTTCCACAAATCTAAAGTAATTGATGAGAAAGTGGATATATCACTTTCTCTTCTTTATAGCACTACTGGCGAATATTGTTTTTTTAACAACGACCAGACCATTCGCCAACCAAAGTCAATAATGCTAGCAACATCCAAGCCCCCATTCTTTTCAACATCATCGTAGATAATTCTATGAACTCCTTCGTAGAATATTGTTTTTTTGTTATCTGCCTTTGGGCAACCATGGGGTCCTATTTATACTACACTATGGCCATTTACATGACTTTATCTGCATATTCTATGTTGTGCAGATGTTTTCTTTATTTCATTTATTTTTGGATTTGAATATTATCTTATTGTATCTTATTGTTCACACTTAGTCTACTCGCCAGGTTGGGAGAAATATTCAAATTAGTTATGTGCCTTATTGACTGGGAGTCAATTATTGCCGTAGTGCTGGGGTGAATGGAAAGAAAAGCAGGGTGCAAATAAAATAAAATACTCTTCAAAAGTTTTTTTATATTACACTCTGGTGTGAAAATGAATAGAAAACTACAAGAAGGGTGTGAAAATGAGTTACTTCTCCAAAAAGAATATATACAATATTATTGATTATCTAATGGAAAGGATTCATGAAACTCCGCCTAATATATATATAACAGAGAAATTGTCGGTATAACAACTGAAGATTTGGAGGTATAACAACTGAAGATAGCAATCAAAAAAAGCGATGGTCATGACATGCTAGAGCTTTGAGTTATTGCTGTGTTCTAATGATGAAGATGTAGGAAAACGATCTCCCTTCGGCTGTCTGGAGCTGGGCTTCCTCTCCCTGTAAGAACAAGCAACATCTTATCTGGGGGGCGCATCATCACGTGAAACGCAAGGAGCTCGCCAGCCATTATAGAGTGTGGATATACGACTTTCTCTTGTATCATATCTTCCACAAATCTAAAGTAATTGATGAGAAAGTGGATATATCACTTTCTCTTCTTTATAGCACTACTGGCGAAGATGATTTAAAGCATTAAAAGGTTGTAAACGCGGATGCTTGACTTGCTGTGTGCCCTTTTGACTTTTTAGCACAACCATGCAGTAATTTCCTGGTGATTTCCTTATATATATTGGTGGTATTCCAGAATCTTTTTCCAAACTCTCATATTGTTTGATGAATTATTTTATTTATTCCCATTCAAATTTTTTCATACATGAATACTGTGGAGTATATATTGCAGTGTGAGATAAGATTAACTCATTACATTTTCATAAATTGAAAGGATTTCTCCTTTTCTTTGTCAATTACAGCACATGCAAATGCATAGAAGCGTTATTCCCCAGAGTAAATGCTATTGTAATGTTTTCATAGAGACTCCTCTGTTTTGCAACTAATTCACTTATATATCTTGAAACATAGCCATAAATGAAGGGTTTTTCCGGTTCAAGAAAATTACTATTTGATGTATGTATCTTGTATATTACTTGCCCGACACTTGCTTATGTCATTATTTGTTTTTATTTTTTGTTAATGATTTTTCATATTTTTTATATTGATGTGGTTTGTAAGTTCAGGGTTCTTGCTCATTACTACTAACTTCTCTATACTTTGCCTGGTCTAAAATCTTAGCTTAAAAAACCTATTCACAAGCATATAACTGGTTAAAATCCCTTCAACACTTAACTACAATAATTTGTTAACTATATACTACCTAATAAACTAATCATAGCTCCTAGAACATTCAGAATTCTATTATGCTTTTTGGATTGTAAACTAGTCTCATTACCTTTTCTTTTATATATATAATTTAGATAGCAATTCCTTTTATATAATTTATAATAATCCCTGAAATCATTCCTGGGCGTTATTGACAGATAGTCCATGTATTCTTTATTATTTTCATCATAGCTATTTCTATAAAAACTAGATTAATGCATAGTTTATTGTATTAAAAACAAAAAAAAAACAAGCTTTTTCCTATGTATAAAATTTGGGTAAAAAACCGTATCTATTCAAATCATTTTTTGGATCAAATAGCACCTGTAAAATACTTAAACTAACAACTTCTAACTTTATTTTTCTAATTTTGAACTTGATACTTCTATACCATTAAACAACCACTAAGCAATCATGTTTTTATTATCTATACCACTAAGCAATTATATTTTCATAACCTATTTAATTAATTTGAAACAATATAATGTTTTTTTATCTCAAAATAAAAAAAAATATAATATTACCTCACTATAACATTTAAAAGTTTTACCCACATTAAAAATATTCAAATTAGTTTTGTTGGCATGTAACCTCACCAAACAATTTGCATGGACTGTATTGACTGGGAGTCAATTATTGTCGCAATTGATGAGAAAATTGATATACTACACTCTCTTTTTTGTAGCATTACTGGCCAAGTTGAGTAATTTCCTGGTAATTTCCTTATGCATAATGGTGGTCTTCCATAATCTTTTTCCTCTTGGGGGTTAACCTGAGTTAAGATTTGTATCATAAGTTTTTATCAAGTCCTAAATTAACTTGGATTAATTTTAAATTTATATGTGTGTCAAAACAACATTTTGTTTTATATATAAACATAAATATGAATCCTGAGCTCTTTTATAATATTAAGAGGTAGTATATTAATAGTTAAATTATCATCCATCAAGATACAATTCATCATCTTTTCATTAACATATCTTTGAATTAAACAAAGTTGTTTATGGAGTTTTGATCATTAAAGGATATTTCTATGGTGCATACACCTTGTGACAAGTTGAAAGAGTTAGTCAGTAGAAGTTTTCTTTATAGTTTTCTCATTTTTTATGTTAAATTAGGAAGAGATCAATGAGAAACTGAACTTGAAGATGGACTATATCATTGATTTCTTGATCAGAATACTCCAACATGATCCAACATCATGGTCAGGGCAAACTCTTTTAAAAAAAATAACGAAAACAAAGTAATTAAACAAGATAGATTTAGGATTCCAAAGATAAATATAGTTACAACACTTCTCTATTGAAACAATCAACAATAAGGCTAAGTTATGAGGTCAAAACTTGTTTTTCTGTTTGTTTTGGTGTTTTAAAAGTGTTTTTAAAACAAATTGAATTTATTTTATTTTTTTGCTTCAAATTAATATTTTTTTTTTGGTATTTTTATATCGTTTTGATACGCTAATATCAAAAATAATTTTTATAAAAAAATATTATTTTAATATATTTCTAAATAAAAAATAACCACAACCACACTTCCAAATAGGTTATCAAAGCACGCATTAGCTGTACACATTCAAGAAAATTGTAGACAAGTTTCGAACTAACACAATTTTGGGCCAAGAATGCAAGAAGCAAACCACTTATTCCCCCACCAGCAACCACAACAAATTCAGTACTCCTATGCTAAGATCTTCTGAATTTGGAGAACTTACGAAAGTTAATACGTACAAGGCTTCAACACTCCGAAGCCTGCAAGAGAAATATCAAAGTAAAATAAGTAGCAGTAAACAGCAGCCATTTCATCAGTTTTAATTTTAGTATAACACAATACTAAATTTTGAATTGTGTTATTTGTTAGTGTATCAGTCTCATTCTTTTAACGAAATTATATATATATATATATATACACACACACACTAAACAAACTAAACTAAACATACTTGTAAATTAATGCCCTTCTCTTATTCAGGATCATTAAGTATACAGTTTCATATATATAGGGCCGGCTACAAGGTGGTGATATATCCTTAAATCACCTGTATATATAAACTTGTCTTACAATTGGAATTGAACTTTATTCTTTTGACCAAAAAATTGCACTTAGATTGAACTTTGAAAGGATCAAGTGGCCACGATCCATTTCATGATCCTTTTGATTCAAGATCAATTGCAGAGTGCTTATTTCATAAAATTTGTCTAACCCTACTAGATATATAAACTTGATCAGTGGTTAAAATATTTACTCTCTACGTTGATTTTCTATATTCTAAATTTGAAATCAGTACTCAAAAGAAGTATTCTTTTTTTTTACTATCTTTGTCACAAGAGTGCGGCATTGCGGCGATCGTCCACCCTCCAAGAAACAAATTGTAAGTGGTCTATCTCTAGCAAAATATGGAAAGACAGAATTCTTGTCTCTTATCAGTGGAAAATTTGAATGGGAGTCGCCACCTAATATTCTAGTCACTAGAAACCTTAACTAGTCTTAGAGATCAGGTACGGAGACTAGTTGCGTAAAGGAAAGTTATGAGCACCCCAACTATGCCCTACCTAAAATAGACTGCATTGTTTTGTCTGATAAAATCTAAAGTCGTGTTATGGTTTCTAATTGTTGGTTTGTCTAGGGTTCAAGATAAGCCCTCCTTCAGAAGGAGGTTCTTATCTTAATGCTATAAAACATAATCGTTCTATTGTCTGAAAAAAAAAAAATAAAATATCCAAAATACACATTACATGTAATGTCGTACCCTAGATACTAACAAATAAGCAAAATAAAATTTTTATTGTTTTTGAAATTTTGGCCAATGTTCTCTTGATTTTAATAAACTGGTTATTAAAGCTAAAATGCATGCTAAAACATTGTTGCTTTTTTTTGTATGAAAAACACAATATGATTTTTAGCTTTGAGACACTTGGTCGTATACATAAAAATATTTTTTTTAATTTTTTTATATTTTTGAAAGTTTTGCCAAAAACCAGGTATTTTAATACTCGATTTGTATTTTTAATGACATAAAATATAGACCGATATTAAAAAAAAAGCATAAATCAAAAGGGGGGAAATCACAAAATATTAAAAATATTTTTTTCTTTTTATTTTTTGAAATGGGCCGGATCAAGCCCAAATACATAGGTTGGGCCGAACCTGGCCCATCCACGTGGGTTGGGCTCATCTTAGCCCTTATGAACAGTGCACTCCACTGTTCACATGCTACGTGACTAGTAAAGGCATGGCAGGGATGAAGCAGGACAGAAAGAAGGGATGAAGGGCTGACCTGAGGTGGTTACTATCGATGGCGAAGCTGCTGCAGGCAACAGGCAGCGGCGATGGTGGTGGTGCTGGTGGTTCATGATGGCCTTCCCCCTCTCTTTTCTCTTCTCTTCTCTGCCCTCACTCTTCTATTCTCGCCTCTTTCAGGCTCTTCCTTCTCTCTTGGTCTCCCGTCCCTCTTTTTTTCTCCCTTTTCCCTATTTTTATAGGCAAAAACAGGGGAGGGAAACGTGGCTAAGGCGGCCACTATTCAGCTGCCCCTCTACCACCCTAGGGACAGCTCTCCTCCCCTAAATCTAACATATGGAAAGCTTTGCAGGTAGAGGGTCCCTACTCGGCGTCTTTTTGAGGTTAATGGCGGTGACAAAGGAGGGAAGAAAAATCTTCTTCTTCCCCTACCTCGCATGTCCAGGGGAAGAATAAGACCTATAGTGCCTTCAAAACGACACCGTTTTGAGCTTCCTTTCTTTCTTTTCTTCTTTTTTATTTGAAATGAACAATGTATGAAACGGTGTTGTTTTGGACAAAACACGTCATTTCATTTAAAAGGAAAAGGTGGCAAAACGTGATAGAGTTCATATTGGTCCTCAATTTATGATTTGTTCAATCAACACGAGGAGGATTTCAACAATTTCAAGGTAGAGGTTCTTGGAATACAAGTGTTAGAGGAAAAGGTAGTAGAAACACCACCAAAGGAGGTCGAGGACAACAACCATTCACTCCTAAAGGAAGAGGAGACGGTTACAATAACCGTGATAAGAGGAATATCCAGTGTTATAATTACAATCAATTCGGGCACTATAACACTAAATGTTAAAAGAAAGTTCCACTATAGATACGTGAGCAAGTCAACTATGCAGAAAAGAATGTCAACAGCAAAGGAGCAGCTGCATTATTTGTCCAACACGGACTTGGCAAGAATCAAGAGAATATTTGGTATCTAGATTTTGGAGCTAGCAATCATATGTGTGGCCAACAAGATTTATTTAGTTATCTAGATAAGACCATACAAGGTTTTGTCACCTTTGGCGATACTTCAAAAGTTCCATTCAAAGGTAAAGATAACATCCCAATCAAGCTAAAGAATGGCGATCATAACTACATAGCCGATGTCTACTATATCCCAGCTATAAAGCAGAACTTGGTGAGCATAGGTCAACTTCTATAGATAAAGCAGAACTTGGTGAGTATAGGTCAACTTCTGGAGAAAGGTTATACACTTTACATGAAGAATTGTCATCTGACAATTACAGACTACAATGGGAGATTAATTGCCTATGTGAAAATGTCCAAGAATAGGATGTTTCCTTTAAACATCCAATATGATGCAGCAAAGTGTTTGAGTGCCATCACCAACAGTGAAGAATGGCTTTGGCATCTGAGGCTTGGACATCTGAATTTCACAAGTCTGAAGATGCTAGCAAGCAAGAAGATGGTCAAAGGTATGCCCCACATTGATCATCCAGAAGAAGTCTGTGAGAGTTGTGTCCTCAGCAAACATCACAGATCCAGTTTTGCCAAAGAAGTCAACTGGAAAGCAAACGAGCCACTAGAGTTAATACACACAGATGTGTGTGGTCCTATAAAGCCTATGTCAAATGGACAAAATAGGTACTTCCTCACTTTTATTGATGATTTTAGCAGAAAGACATGGGTATATTTTTTAAAGAGGAAGTTAGAAGTGTTCAATTTTTTTAAATATTTTAAAGCAATTATTGAGAAGTAAAGTGGTTATAAGATCAGAACCGTGAGATCTGATCAAGGTGGAGAATATACAGCAAATGACTTTGAAGCCTTTTGTACACAACAAGGCATCAGACATCAGACAACACCAGCTTATACACCACAGCTGAATGGTTTAGCTAAGAGGAAGAATCGAATGATTTTTGACATGGCAAGAAGTCTACTCAAAGAAAAGAAATTGCCCAAACAATATTGGGCTGAAGCTGTATCATATACAGTGTATTTGTGAATCGCTGCCCAACCAGAAGTTTGCAAGTTGTCACTCCACAAGAAGCATGGAGTGGTCACAAACCAAGTGTTACTCATCTTCAAGTTTTTAGCTGTGTGGTATATGCAAAGATTCCAAATACAAGAAGGACCAAACTTGATGATAAAAGTGAGAAATGCATCTTTATCAGATACGGTGATAGAAGGATGGGATACAAGCTGTATAATCCCATCACAAAAAAGGTAATTATGAGTAAAGATGTTATCTTTGAAGGAAATAAAACTTGGCAATGGAATGATGACCAATAAGCAATTAAATGGATCAGCACTGACTTGATCCTTGAAAATGAAGAAGCACCAACAGTACTTGTAGAAGGTTCGATATTACCAGAAGATGAGCCACAAAGTTCGGTACACAGATTTCCTGTATTCAACAGGAGAAACACATCAGAATTATCATCTATATTTGTTATCTTGTTCACTCTTTAATAATTTGCTTTCCTCTACGGTTTGAAGCAAGCTCCGTGTGCTTGGAATACCAGAATTGACAGGTATTTTCAAGATAACGGATTTCAAGATAATGGATTTGAAAAATGTCCATATGAACATGCAATTTATGTGAAGAAAGAAGCAGATGGCAGCATATTATTTGTGTGCCTATATGTTGATGACTTGATATTCACCGGCAACAATCCTACCATGTTCGAAGACTTCAAGAAAAGCATGGTACAAGAGTTTGAGATGACAGACATTGGTCTGATGGCACATTTTCTTGGCTTAGAAGTGGTGCAGAAAGAAGAAGGGATTTTTGTATCCCAAAGCAGTTATGCCAAAGATATTCTTGAAAGGTTTAAGATGGGAAGCTGCAATCCGATATCAACTCTAGTTGAGAATGGAATGGAATTGAAGAAGAGTAAAGTTGGAAAAGTTGATCCAACTTACTTCAAAAGCTTAGTAGGAAGCTTAAGGTACTTGACATGTACCACACCAGATATACTCTACGAAGTCGGACTGATTAGCAGATATATGGAGAAGTCAGACCAGTCTCATTTGAATCCAGCCAAGAGAATTCTTCGCTACATCAAAGGCACAATAAATGAAGGTTTGTTTTATACCTCAACTACCAATCTCAATCTTACTAGCTACTCGGATAATGATTGGGGTAGAGATTTGGATGTACAATAGGATTTTTCTTTTTCATGGGAGATACATCTTCCACATGGTCATCCAAGAAGCAATCGATTGTCATATTATCAAGCTGTGAAGCTGAGTATGTTGCTGCCAAATCATTTGTATGCCATTCAATATGGTTAAGGAATTTGCTGAAGTTTTTAGGATTTCCTCAAGAAAATCCTAAAGAGATTTATATCGATAATCAATTAGCGATTGCATTGGCAAAGAACCCGGTGTATTATGAAAGAAGTAAACACATTGATACATGTCATCACTTTATCCGAGAGCATGTAAAGAACAAAGAAGTCTAGCTAATATCCTGCAAGACAGATGATCAAATTACAAATATCTTTACAAAGCCATTGAAGAGAGAAGTATTTATTAGATTGAAATTCATGCTTGGCATAAAATCCCTCGATTGAGTTTAAAGGGGAGATTTGTAAAAGTAAACTCAATCTAAAAGGTTAAAAAAGATAACCACCAGCTGTCACCGACCAACCGTCTAGTCATCAGCTGCTTTCACACCGTCAACAACAGTCGCCTTCACACTTGAAGGTTGAATTTTCTTGTTATGAATTCGTATATAAATAGGTAGCTAATTTTATGCAATTATGTGTGGAGAGATTTGAGAGAAACACAAACTGAAAGAAAGAAAGAGAGAGGGTGTGCATTCAAAGCTTTTGTTTAATTATTGTAAGCTTTTGTTCTTGAAATAAAGAATGTGTTTTATCCCCTCTAAGTGTTTTAAAGCCACCACCAGTGGTTTCTCCCACCAACATCGATAACAAAACTTTCAATTCTTGTGAATGGCTCTCTAACTAAAGAGTTCTTTATCGAAAAGAGGTTGCGACAAGGGGACTTTTTATCAACATCTCTTTTCAAGATAGCAACTGAGGGTCTTAGTAGAATGCTAAGAAGAGATGTGATTTGGGACTTATAAAAATTATTTGTTTAGGTCACTTTCAGTTTGTAGATGATTATCTCATCTTTAGTTCATATGATTTTCCATCTCTTCAAAACATCAAAAGAACTATGTGATGTTTTGAGTTGATTTCTAGGTTGAAGGTTAATTTCCATAAGAGCTCAATCACTAGAACTATTGTTACTTCTTCAACTGCTAGCAATCTAATATATAAGATGGAGGGGATGCCATTTAAGTATTTGGGCCTGCCTATTTGTGCATCTTCATCTCATGTGGAAAACTATTGTTAATAGAATCAATAGCAAGTTGGTTGCCTGGAAAGGGCGTCACTTATCTACCTATCTGCGAGCTTTATTTCCTATAACATCTACTGTTGCTACCAAAATTGAGAAACATATGATATATTCTTTCTTTGGTTCTTAGGAGGAAGAAGGAAAAAAACTATGCAATGTTAAATGGGCATCGGTGGTTCCTCCAAAAAACACAAAAAGGGCTAGGTATAAACTACATTATTGATAAAAATCATGGGTTAATAACACTTCCATAACAATCAAAGAGATATATATTTTTCCTATTAATTTTTCAAGTTACCATGATGAGAGTATGATGTGGCTCCAATAAATATAGGATATGTTAGGGATACAATGCCTCTGTGATATGGACATAATCATTTTTTGTATGTCAAATTCTTACTATTTCACTCTTAAGAGTAGAAAGATCTAGTTCGCTAAACTACCAATACCAATGCTTAATAACAATAATGAAAGGAAAAAAAAAGCATGTGAAAGGAAAAGGACTTAATCTTATAAGCCCAAATGATTTTGAGAATGAGATTCATTAAAGGTTTGTTGTATTTGCTTTAATGGCTAAGAAAGTTTGAGAGGAAGCACTTGAAGAAGTAAGTGCGGTTCATAATTCCTTACCCTATTATACATTACATTCAACATGTAATAGATTTTGTGTTATATTGACCTTTTGGTTTCTGATTGATACTTAAAAATGTATTTTTATCAAGGTTTTATATCATCATTTTGCACTTGAAGTATCAATAACTCCTTAACTAAAGCATGTTTTATAATAATATATCTAATAATACAAGATACCTTTAATTT